GGTCTTCATCTATGTCATCTGCAGCAGAACTCATCCATGAGCTCATGCTCCAAAGAACTGACAGATGAACCTCTCCAAAATGACTGCAACCCCCTTTTGCCCAAGAAAAGAACCATATGCATGCTGATCCTGGCTCTGTTTCCCTCAAAAGTGTTGGCATCTGTGCTGGTGGCTGTGAATGTCAGATCAAGACCTCTAAGAATCTTACATGTTTCAATGAAAGCACCTTACTCTCTTTTAAATTACAGGGAGTATTGGTTTCGACTAAACTAACTGTCTCCAGAGGAAGTCCTCTCATTCCATGAATCAATCTACTGGCAAGTTGTTACACCCACTGGGAGAAAGTTTGGGGTGGCATGGTGGCTCAGTGGCGAGCACTACTGCCTCACAATACCAGAGACCAGGTTTGATTCCATTCTTGGACAATTGTCTGTGTGGAGTTTGCACTTTCTCCCTGTGTCTGTGTGGGTTTCCTGCAGGTGATCTGGTTTCCTCCCACAGTCCAAAGATGTGCAGGTTAGATGGACTGGCCATGGTAAATTGCCCATAGTTTCCAGGGATTTGAAGGCTAGGTGGATTAGCCATGGGAAATGCAGGGTTACAGGGATAGGGTAGAGGGGTGGGTCTGGGTGGGATGCTCTTCAGAGAGTCAGTGTGGACTTGATGGGCTGAATAGCCTGCTTCCACATGTAGGGATTCTACAAAGTATATCCTTCCTTAGGTGTAAAGACAAAACCTGCACATAGTGCTCTGGGTGTGGTGCCACAAAAACCTTGAACAACTGCAGCAAGATTTTCCTACTCCTGGATTCCAATCCTTTTGTGGTAACAGCTGACATATCATTTATGAAGAAAGGACGATATGAAAAAAAACTTCTCCACAGTGAGTATGGAATGCAGTACCTACAAATGTGGTGGAGGCAGGTTTTATTGAGACATTCAAGAAGACATTGGGGTTTTTTTTGATAGTAATGGTGTGCAGGACTATGAGGAAAAGGTAGATTGGCATACGATAATTGAGTAGACTATGTAACAGAGCTGGTGCAAGCATGGTAGACTGGATGGCCTCCTTCTGTACAGTAATAATTCTGTGATTTGTGACATTTTACATCAACAACACAGCTTTCATACTCCTTGCTGGTTTCATCAAAAAACTCAAGTTTGTCAGGCATGAATTGTTCTTGATGATTCCATTGAACATAGAACATAGAACATTACAGCACAGTACAGGCCCTTCGATGTTGCGCCGACTGGTGAAACCAATCTGAAGCCCATCTAACCTACACTATTCCATTATCATCCATATGTTTATCCAATGATCATTTAAATGCCCTTAAAGTTGGCGAGTCTACTACTGTTGCAGGCAGGGCATTCCACGCCCTTACTACTCTCTGAGTAAAGAACCTACCTCTGACATCTGTCCTATATCTATCACCCCTCAATTTAAAGCTATGTCCCCTCGTGCTAGCAATCACCATCCAAGGAAAAAGGCTCTCACTATCCACCCTATCTAATCCTCTGATCATCTTATATGTCTCTATTAAGTCACCTCTTAACCTTCTTCTCTCTAACGAAAACAGCCTCAAGTCCCTCAGCCTTTTCTCATAAGACCTTCCCTCCATACCAGGCAACATCCTGGTAAATCTCCTCTGCACCCTTTCCAATGCTTCCACATCCTTCCTATAATGCAGCAACCAGAACTGTACACAATACTCCAAGTGCGGCCGCACCAGAGTTTTGTACAGCTGCAACATGACCTCATGGCTCCGAAACTCAATCCCTCTACCAATAAAATCTAACACACCTTACTCCTTCTTAACAACCCTATCAACCTGAGTGGCAACTTTCAGTGATCTATGCACATGGACACCGAGATCTCTCTGCTCATTCACACTACCAAGAATCTCACCATTAGCCCAGTACTCTGTATTCCTGTTACTCCTTGCATCAAACTTTGTTTCATTTATCTAAAAGGCTGCTAGTTTTCTCACAGATCAGTGTTTCTAAAGGCTTCATGATCACTAACATTAAACTACCAGACATGTAATTATCAGGCTATCCTTCTTTACTTTTGTTTAGAAAAAGGATATGACCATTGCAGTCCTCTCACATTACTTCTTTGTACAGAGGACCATTCTTTCCTTTTCACACCTTAATTTACACCCAACTTTCACCATTACTATCAACCCCTTTGACTACTGCACTCAGCCTCCACACCCTGGCTCCTCCTCCTACCCTGTGAGAAGTAATAAAAACAAATTTTCCAACATGCATCATTTCTGAAGAAGAATCACGCTATACTCAAAATGATAACTCTGTTTCACTCCCCTTACATGCAGTCAGACCTGCTGAGTTTCTCCAGCCCTTTTTATGTTCAATACAATTCTGAAGTATTTATTTAGCGCCTCAGCTATGCCTTGTGCCTCAACCAATAGAGATCCATTGTTACTCCAACAGCCTATTTATTATTAATGTAATAATTTGCCTGTAGCAAACCTTTGAAAGCAAATTGCTGAGCTCTTCGTTTCAGGCTAAGAAATTGCCAAGGCAATCGAATTCCTTTGGTTATCAAAATCTTTTGAAAATAATAGGCTTTATCTGACATTAAATTTCTCACAATATTTTGCTTCCAAAATAGTAGCTAAAATGGAAATCATATAGATTTTTATGGGAAACATTTCTGAATTTTTATATTGTACCAATTAAACATTCCAAACAAGTAATTCAGAAATTATTGTTAGTAGTATTATATAATACAGATTTATTTAATGGTAAAGTGTGCTTTGAAATTGACATAACATTCACACTTAGTTTGTTTACAAGTTGATCCCGAACTTAATAAATATAAAATGTTAAATTCTTACATGGTACAATTATTTGTTAAAGATAAGAAAACAAAATATATGCTGCCTTTCACATCTATTGAACATCTATAGCACTTTACTGCAATGAAGTACTTTCGAAGTACAGTGATACGTCATACAGTCCTACAGCATGGAGACAGGCCCTTTGGCCCAAACTCGTCTGTGCTGACCAAGATATCCATCCATGCTAAGCCCATTTCCCTGTTCTTGGCCCATATCCTTCTAAACCTATCCATGGGAAACATTTTAAATAAAAGTTTCAACTACATCAATTTTAATTGCATCAAATTTGCATGAAACTTTCAAAACCAATCTATTAGTTTTACCATCATCATTGAAGTGGATCTACACCTGAATCAGATCATTCTAAGTTTCCAACACTGCAAAGTCCTGACAAAATTACTCAGAAATCAATTTTCATATGGAATGTGCAATTTGTTTGATCCGTCGTATACTAGAAATGAGGCAAGAAGGAAATCTAAGCATTGCAAAGTTATGTAGAATACTTGTGGATTGGAAGGCAGGAAGTTAGAATTTGGTGCTTGTAAAATGCTAGGGGGGAAAGCAGGGCATGGTCCCTTTAAGAGATGATGTGTTTTTTTTCTATGCTTAGAGATTTAAACAATATGTCTGTGGGCAGCAGCTTGTGGGTTTGCAGATGCACAGAGAGCCCTCAAACTGAAAAATTTCTATCACAAGGCTGTGCAGTTAGCAGGCCAAGCAACAGTTTTGTTTTGTTATCAAGACAAGTTTTGATTTTAGCCAATCAATTTGAATTAGGCACTTAGATATCAAAACCAATTAAATTTAAATCTGATGTTTCTGACAACATAGGACCAATCCTATCATAAGAAACTGATGTATCATCAAGGGTGTACAAGAAGGGGCATTTGGAAAATCAGGAGAGTTAACTGCCATCTGCTAGAGTTAATAGCTTTCAGTTTGCAAGAGAGAATGCTGGCTCTGTCAGTCTTCTCTACATGTTAGAGAAAGCATCATTTAAATCAAAGGTACCAACAGCACAATTAGTTAATATTCCTGACAGAACATTTGACGGAAAAGGCAGAGTGCATTTCGGAAGACACGTAATCTGGCTGTAATTTTTGAGAGACTGAATTCTATTTTTTCTTTTATTTTGTATAAGTTTGACTTGTATTTATTGGAACAGCATAACATTAGGATCTTGTTTTATTCAGCAATAGTTAGCAGTTAGACGGGGTTTATTTGGATTGTTAATAGTTTAGTTAATTTGTTCACCGTTGAAGTTATATAAATAAATTGTTACTTGTTGATTGTCAAGGGCATGTCAGGGATTTGTTTTATTTAATCACGAGAAGTTGCTGAAAGACAGGTTACACCACTTTTCACACTCTTTTCAAACAGATTATCGGGTGAGGCACTCCTCTCTGGGTGTTTCGGTTTTAGGTCTCAGAGCGGAGTCAACCTCCACTTTATAACATAAGCAAATCCTTCATATAAGTGTGAAGCACGTGATAGGCAAATTGATTTAGGGTTTGTTTTCTAACGTTTGTGTTCATTCAGTTGCAAACAACATAAAATTGCATCACTGCAGCTGCTGGAAATCTGAAATTAACAGAGCAGCAAAACAGGACTTCCAGTATATTTTAATACTCGAAATAGCAAGTCCTTGTAACATATCAGTACCTGAATACAGCAAGAATAATGTGTGGTACAAGACTTATTTTGTCATCTGTTTCCGCGCTACAAAGTTTCCGTCAAACCGCCCAGAGATGGTCCGTGGCGGAAAAGAACATGGGCGAGTTGTTTGGGGTGAAATTTACAACTAAAGTAGATGTTGCAATGCCGTTTTTAAAAGCTTGCACCCGTTTATTTAGATTGAAACGACAGCATCAAATCAGAAAAGAGGAGACTGGCTGGGAGCGTACGCCAACCTGTATACGATCAACTATTTGCAATGGTTGTGGTTTGCTCTCTTAAAAGTATTGTAAGGAAATGCTGGGAACGACCAGATAAAGAAGCATTTGGGGCATGGAAACTTAGGCTCAGGTCCAAACCTGCAAAGATCACCTCCTCTGTGGACAGGTGACTGAATACATTTCAGTCTCATGGGGAAAGAACCTTCTTGATCTTGAAATTGCTTTCTTTCATCTTCCTTCTCCACCAACTGTCACTTCACTTGCCCCGTGGAGGGAGAAGGGGGAGGGGGGGAGTGCCTCCAACGGTCAGTCCTGCGCGTCCCCCGCGCAGGTGCGCTGCTCCTTCGACCTTTGGTCGCGCGCTTAGTGGCGGCGGCGTGCGCTAGGAGGAAGCGTTGTTGCGACGGCAACCGCGTCTACAGGGACGGGAGGGCCTCGAGTGAGGGGCCCATCGAGTCAGAACGTGGCTGGCGCGCGGCCCGCGATGTTCGCGGGCGGTTGGCGAGCAGTCGCTCCCCTCGCTACGTACTCCGAGACCGCGGGCAGCGGGCGGGCAAGGTTGGAGCCGTCCCCGGAGAGGGGCGCAGGAGGGTGCGGTCCGGAAGATCCGATCTGCCGGGGCATATTTCAGGTCGAGAAAAGAAGCTGCGACGTCGTGTTGACATCGAGCAGATTGATATGGACGCCGATTGAGCCGGAGAGCCCGGCAGGTGGGTCATTGTGTTACGGCAACTGAGAGCAAGGGATCCTGCACAGCTCTCTCAGAGCTCAATATTACTGCTGCAAACGCCCACATGGACATGCATTGTGCTCAAACTCTCAAAAAACCGGGCACCACTTGCAGGCGCTTGCTAAGTTTTAGATTTTTGAAAGTATCCATCTTAGAAAAAAAAACTAGCTGGAACATAGTTCATAAAGATAAGTTTTGTAAAGAATACAGTAACTAAAGGCCTCCTGTGATTTCGTGTTTGGATGTTTCCAGTGACAGAAACAAACCGGCAAATGGCTATCGGAACGAAGGAGAATCGAAAAGTTTACTCTCGTTCTCGCTCCATAAATGCTTAAATGCCGCCAGACCTGCTGAGTTTTTATAGCAGTTTCCGTTTTTATTTCAAATTTCCAGCGTCCGCAACTCTTTTTAAGACAATTTAACTGGTGGGCGATAACCATTTGCCTTAAAAGATACGGGGCAATTGCAAACCTCAAAGCAACAATATATCACACAAGTGATGATCTGCAATTTCCTCAATGCGTCACTTTTACAATGAGACATATTAGTATCGAATTTATTGTACGTCAAGTGATGAATACCTATTAGAAGGGCAATATTGTTCCTTGACTCAGTCATCTGAATTTGAAAAATCGTTTTGTTTTCACTATCTGACTTGTGGGGCATGTAAAACAATGCTTATCTATATTAAAATTCCCAGAAGTTCAAAAACTTTTGGCATCATGCCACATCTTTCAATGGATATTGAAATATTAATATTTTTCAATTCTTCTTGTTCTGTTCCATAATTAGGACATGCCATCCCACTGCTATACTGTAGATGCATTTTTTTTGGTAATTTGTAAAATTTGGGTATGAGTGGATTACTGAAGTTTACAGCATATTTGCATTCCTTCTGAATCCAAGAAGCAGTTATGCGGAGACTCAACCTCTGCTTGAAATGTAAAATAGATCTCTTGTGACTGCTGACAAATTTGTTTTCACTTTTGAAGTATGCATCTATGGTTACACACCTTTGGTCGGTATACAATCTGACTCAGACTTTACTTCAATCTATTATTTCACCCTTTCTGCATGCTGAATTTGATTTAGTGGCCACTGGATTGTACTTCTCCTTTGTATACCATTCTATTAAAATTAGATATACTAGCATGTCATCTTATGTTGGTAGTGGACACATAGGTTAGGCTAGGGTAAGTGCTAATTTAGATTGTAGGTACATAAGATGCTCAACTTTGGGTTGAGAATGTTTTGTGATATTCAAAATATTTGAATATAATACTATGTTAGTATTGCTGAAAAAAGACACATTTTGTAGAAGGTTTTTGTCTTGTATTCCATATGACCGTAAGGAAGTGGAACAGGAGTGGGCTATTTGGCCCCTTGAGCCTGCTGTGCCATCCAATAAGAACATGGCTCTTCTGACACACCCCACATCCACTTTCCTGCCCTTGCTACCCCTACTGATCAAGAATTTATCTATCTCAGCCTTTGAATATACACAAAGAGCTGCCCCCCACACCTCTCTGTGGTGAGGAGTTCCAAAGGCACTTAAACCCTCTCAGAGAAGAAATTCCTCCTCATCTCATTCTTAAATTGGCACCCCTTAATTCTGAAACTATGCCCTCTGGTCCTAGACATTTCCATGAGGAGAAGTATCCACTCAGCATTTACCCTGTCAAGCCCCTTAAGAATCTTACATGTTTCAATGAGATCACCTCTCTTTCTTCTAAATTCCAATTAATAGAGTGCCAACCTATTTAACCTTTGCTCATAAGACAGACCTTCCATACTAGGAATCATCCCAGTGAACCTTCTCTGAACCATCTCCAATGAAATTATACCTTTCTTTAAATAAAGGGACGAAAACTGTTCACTGTAGTCCAGATGTGGTCTCACCAGCACCTTGTCCAATTACACTACTCTTATACTCCAAACCCCTTGAAATAAGGACCAACATTCTGTTAGCCTCCCTGATTACCTACTGCACCTGCGTGCTAGCTTTCTGTGTTTAGTGCACAAGTGCCCCCAGTCCCTTTGTGTTGCAGCTTTCTGCAGTTTCTCTCCTTTTAAATAATACCGTGTTCTTTTGTTCTCCCTTCCAAAATGACCAACTTCGCATTTTCCTATTTTATAGTCCATTTGTCAAATTTTTGCCCACTCACTTAAGCTGTCAGTATCTCTCTGGAAACTGTTTGTATCCCTCTCGCAACATGCGTTTCCACTTATTGTCTGAAAATTTGGCTACAGTACATTCGCTTCCTTCCTCCAAGTCATTAATCAATATTGTAAACAGTTGTGCTCACAGCACTGATTCCTGTGGAACCCCACAGGTCACAGGTTGCCAACCTGAAAAAGTCCTCCTTTTGCCCCACCAGCTATTTCCTGCCCATGAGCCAGTTCTCCATCCATGCCAGTTTATTGCCTCCAACACCGTGGGCTGTTACCTTATGACTTAACTTTTAGTGAGGTACCTTGTCAAAAGCCTTCTTGAAGTCCAAGTACAACACATCTATTTGTTCCTCCCTGTCCACTCTGGTTAAGACTTCCTCAAAAACGAATTAGTCAGACACGATTTCCCTTTCATGAAACTATGCTGACTCTACTTGAATAGATTATGATTTTCCAAATGTTCTGTTATTCCTTCATAATTGATTTCAATACTTTTCCAACAATAATGTTAGGCTAATCAGTCTATTGTTACCTGCCTTTTGCCTGCCTCCCTCTTTGAATAAGGGTGTCATACTGGCAGTTTTCCAATCCTCTGGTACTTCTCCAGAATCCAAGGATTTTTGGAAAACTACAAGCAATGCATCCACAATCTCTGTAGCTACCTTCATTAGGATCCTAGGATGCAAACCATTAGGGCCAAGAGACTTATCTGCCTTTAGCCGCATTAGTTTGTCTAGTGATGGTGATGGTACTTGATTCCTCCCCTGAGCCCCGGCTCCTTGAACCTGCTCCGCCATTCATCCGGACAATTTTCAAGAATACAAATTCATGGGTGAAACCAACTTTGATACTCCATGAGAGGAATGTGCTGATTAGTTGGCAAGTGAACTGTTGATTTGTAGAGATGCTGTGATAGAGAATGCAATATTTAATTATTAGCAGTTAATAGCCAAGATTGGTTTAAATTTTCAACCAGTCAGGGCAATACCCTGTATAATAACCCAATACTCTGAATAATTTGAATAGTTGTCACCAGTTTGAGTTGAAATAGGCACAGTGTGTGTACATGTTTTTTCTGTCTGCATAAAAGAGCGCCCTATACATGACTACATGTAGCTTTCGGTACATGGAAGTGCACCACACAGAGCCCCACTGATAATCCTATATTGATTGTCCTTATAGTTCTTTGCACACTTGGAATTATTCAGCAAATGTCCAGTGGTGCAATCACAATGTTGGAATTGTGTTGCGAATTTTGCAAGGTTGAGCTTGTTGAGTGTGGTCAATATCTTTCTTGCTGTGAACAGGATATGTGGTTTGAGATTATCTGCCATTCTTTGAGATGCATGGCCTACTTATCTAGCATTGCATGAAAACTGAAATGTATATATCACGTTACTAATCTGTAATCATCAGAATGCATTTTTAACTTGATGGCAGCATCCTGTTACTGGTGATCGCCACTTGTTATGGCATAGTCGCTGTGTGAAACAACGGGGTTCACCTGTTCAAACTTTTAATATATCTTATCTTTAGGGCTCTTGTGTCAGAGTGGTAAGGTCCTTACCTGTGAGCTAGGTTCAAGTCTGAAAATCATACTCTAGAAGTGCGTAGTAGAATCTCTGAGCAGGTTGCTTAGACAATATCTATACCTTACCATTCTGGATAAGCTGAGATAGAGTGGCTATTTTTCAGGACTAAGGTGACTGCCTTAGAACTTTTCATGAGTTTGTGTGATATATGGTGAGAAATGATCTGATCAGGGTAGCTGTTGTCCTGCATGATGGCTTTGATCCACCTTATTTTAACATGTTTGCAGTGTGAATCAGGCCCTGACCAGTGAAGGAGCCCATCAAGACATATAAGAGAATTCTTACATGTGTCTGTGGATACAAATATAGAAAATGTAACATCTACACATCGTAAACATGTAAGGGATAGGAAGTTAGGTGTCATTTCCAAAAGGACAAGTTTCTCATGACATCCAACAAAGATGTTTGAAAGTCCTGGGCCTGGTGAGATCCAATGGCTACATCATCTATTTGGGTGTTCATGGTACTGTTAAAACTAAACTCAGCTGCAGGAGTTGCTCTGTTCATAATTTCAATGGATATTGATTTGCACAATGGTGGTGACTGTTGATCACCATGACATAGTGCTGCTGTGCAGATGTGTATGACTTTCTTGAGTGGTACATCAGTGAATAGGTTAGTAACATCAAATGGACACTGTGGCTATTGTTATGCAAGTCCTGTATGGCCTTCACAAATGTGAAGGCATCCTTCACCATCTAAGTGGAAAACTTGCACAAGACTGGATGTGGCAATTTACCCAACCATGTGGCCAATTCAGGTTGTGCAGAAGGAGTTATAGGTAAGCTAACCTGTGTGTGTCTAAGCCAACTTACATGTCTGTGTATGTAGTGAGCCTTGAGGATGAATCTTATTGTATACATCACCTGGTACTCCATTGCTTTTACAGAAGTCCAGCAACCACTTTTATTTAGCTTGCTTTCGAGGAAGGCTATTTGGTCATGCTGAGTGGCAGATTGAATGGTTACAGATTTTGGATTTTGAATGGCTTTCTGGTGCCATTTTGATAGTTTACAAAAAGAAATGAAAGTTTTAGCTTAAAGAGAAGGCCATCATGTTTGAGCTCTGAGCCAGTTGGGCCGATTCACCTCCACTACTGCCTTGCTGCCTGTGCTGGTCCCACCAACATCAGAGGTGCATCTCTCACCACTGGGCCCACCTTGTCGATGTCACCATGAAGCCCTTCTGCCATTGCTTTGCTGCCGCCAGTGCCGGA